CCCTCTGCCCACCCTGGCTCCTCGGGGTTGGGCTCCACAAACAGGAGCCCGAGTCCCGGCGCCGCAGCAGACGAGGCGCAGAGGGCATGGGGTACCTGCAGGATCGCCTGCCCCAGGTGCCGGGGGGGAGGAGTGGGCCGCACGGCCTCCCCCGCCCCCAGTCTCCCCCAAGTTTCACCCCGCTCTTTGGTTCCATTTCCCCCACAAGCCCACACAACAGCTGGGCAGTCCGCCACTGGCTGTGAACGACGCTCGACTTTCAGGAGTCGTTAAAGTGAGTGTCATTAGGTGGCTTTTAATCTGTCGACACCATACAACGCACCCCCTGGCGTGGGGCCCAGTTCCAGACGGCTCGGCGGCCCCAGAGATCAACTCCAGAGGAGCCCTGGGCTCGACCAACAATTGCTTCTTCCCACTCAACTGAGAATCGAAACCCTGCACAACTTCAAAATCGCGCACGGGATGACGGCAAGTGCTTCCGGAGACGTCCACCCCGGCGGGCTCTCCCTTGGCCGCCAGGGGAAGGGCTTCCCACGATGCAGCTGGCTGCTGCTAGGAAACCTCTGTTCTGACGGCCCACCCTGGATGTGGCCGTGACGCCCGGGTTCAAGGTAACGTTAAGACTCTAAAGAGTCTTGTGAAGCCAGTAGGTCATGGAGCATCCCAAGGTACACTTACTCACCCAATCTCCAGTGGGACTCGCTGGGCCCGAGGTCACAGAACATGCACCCCGGCTTGTCTCGGCAAAGCGAAACCACCAGAGTGGCCGCCCCAGTGGAACCACAGCTCGCATTTCCCCACTAACACCTCTTTGTCCAATGCCAATGCAGGTGTGTCTCTCTCAAATTATCAACCAAATGAGGAAATACATAAGACACTTGGAACAGCAGGAAGCCCCTGCAGTATTTCGCCCATAAATCTCTAAGAGCTCCCAGTGAGTCTTGCTGGCACTTAAATTTTAAAAAAAACAAACCACCAGGCAAGGGACACACTAGCCATGACTGAGGCAGGCCTGTGGGGGCCCTTCTGAGGGGTCCACACTCCTGGGGAGGGGTCCTGGCTGCAGCCGAAGGACATGGCGGCCGTACGCCACCGGTCCCCCCAGTCCGCACCAGCCCTGGGCTGACCACCCCATTCGGCCTGCTACGAACTCGGGATGTGGAGCAGCAGCTGGATAATCACCACTGGCCCATCTTAAGGGAGAACAGACTCTCAAACAGAAGAACAAACATTTTTTACTTTCACTCGGGAATCTCATAGGAGAGAACATCTGCCTAAAAGACTTCCGTGGGCACTGGCCAGGGGTCCCAGTTGGTCGGAATGCCATCCCATACACTGAAAGGCCCCAAGGCCAGTTCCAGGTCAGGGCATGTTCCTGGGTTGCGGGTTCGAGAGCCCCAGCTGGGGTGCGCTCGAGGGGCAACCAATCAATGCTCCCCCCTTTCTCCTCCCGGCTACCCCCCACCCCTGCCCACTCCTACTCTCTCCAAAGTCAATAAACATATCCTCGGTGAGGATTAAAAAAAAATTCAGTGGCGTTTTCTCATTTCCTCCACCAAATTTAAAAACAAAAAACTGTAAGCAGGATGAGATAAACAGATCAAGATGTCAGATGCGAACATTCCGGAACCCAGGTCAGTGAGTGTGAGGCAGGGAGGCCCTTGGTCTGTTGTTCTCAGAGGGGCCGGCGTCGGGGCTCCGGCCTGGAGTCTGCGGGAAGCGGGGGCCGGGGCCCAGACCGCGGGTCTGTCCAATAACAGAGAGATTAACAGACGCGAGAGGGAAGGAGAGAAAGGAGAGTACGCAGCTGCCGCCCCCCGAACAGACCTCCCATCTGCCACCCACGATCTGCATGTCACCTTCTCCGGGCTCATTTGTACTTCATTAACTGCCATTGACTTAACAAGATTTATGCAAATGACACCATGGGAGCTCCCCAACTCCCACCGCAATCAGGCGGTTATGTACGTACCAGTCTCCACAGCGATGAAAAATTCATACGTGACTGGCCGCGCCGCCGAGCCAGGCCTCTGGCTTTTTATTTTTCTTGCTTTGCTTTTTAATTTTTATTCCATGACCCTGTCTTGCTAGTAAAAAAAGAAACTGCCTGAACTGAATCTCCTCTATGGCCTCAGAAAGGACAAAAAAAAAGGGGGAGGTGGGCCCAGGTCCTCCGGAAATGAAGTTATTTTGCAGAAAATAAGTCATCTTCCGGATAAGAAGCCTTTAACTGGGGAGAAGGGAACGGCCAACACCCCTGTCTACGTGACCCCCCAGCTCCCAAACAAGGGGGAGCCCGTCCTCGCAATAAACAGGCTGTGAGTACGCAGGGGCACGGTTAACCTAAGTCACGGGGACACACCATCTGCGCCAACACGGGCCGGCTGCAGGGCGCGCCGGGCCTTGTGTCCTAAACGCCCGTGACAAGGTTCCCACAGGGAAGGGAGAAAGGCTCTGCTGTGATCACAACTACCGGCCGACCTAGATGCCACCACCGTCACCACCCCCACGAAGGTCGCTGAGGCTCGGAAGGCCCCGTGAGCGGGCGTGCAGGGCCCCGACCCCTGGGCCCCACAGAGCACGGAGACAGTGCACGCTCCCCGCTGCCGGCAAGCAGGGTGGGACCCTGGTGCGGCGAACACCCCCAGGGAGAAGGGCTCCCCCAGACGGCTGGGAACGGTCCTTCTGCAGGCCACACACGGCGCCTCGGCCTGAGGTCGGGCAACGCTGCTCCCTGCAGGCGCTCTGCCCGGTGGTGGGGGAGGGAGCACAGGCCCCCGGCAGCAGAGCCGGGCCTGGCCCTGCTCACCTGCCTGGGTTCGGTTTGAAGTGCAGGATGCACGGCCACCCCAGCGTGGCCGTGTTGGGGATTCGACAGGACGCTCCATGCAAAGTGTTTAACAAGCAATACACGCTCCTTTCATCGCCCGCTTATGCAGCGAACAGGCCTGCTGGGCGTCTCGGACTCGCTGCACGGCGCTGCCCCGCAGCTCTGTCCTCTCGACCCCGCCGCCTCGCTCTTCCCGGTCCAGGCCACTCCACTGGGGGAGGGGGAGTCTTTCGCTTACGAGCTCGGCCCCTTTACATACATCCAGGGGCACACACGTGAGACAGACGGACCTACACGACTGTCCGCAAACCCACAGTGACCGGCGCTGCCTGCCAGAAGGCTCCGATGAAGGTCCGTGTGTGATTCATCTGAAGACCCAGGTTTGCTGAATTTACAAATTCTCTCGAATCCCCACAGGCCAGCGTTTCATGGACCTCGGACAGGGCCCCCGCCTGGCGTGGGCCAGCCAGGAGGGGGCGCATCCGTGGTCGTGGTTCAGAGGTTTCCACAAGACTGTTTTGAGTATTCGCAATTAAAAGGCCTCCAAGGACTGGGTTGTCCTCACTTCACGCCTGAGGGCCGGCTGCCCCCCTCGCGCAGGGGACAGCCACGCCCACAAAGGGAGCCCCTCCCACATACGAGCAGGGCACAATCTGAGTGACGGCCCCGGGTCCCCAGAGACCTGACGGCTTGAACAGGCCCGCCCCGGCCGACCGCAGATGTGAGTTACACAGAAACGGCCCAGCGTTTGGTGCCAGTGTCCCGGGAAGACAACATCCCAGGGTCGACCACTGAAGGAGAGGAGGGATGAGAAGGTTTCTGCAACTCCACTGGGAATGGTCACGCAACCTAAGAGCTGCATGTGAAAATGGCCCTCGGTGGGGACCTGGACTGATCGATACGCACACACAGAAAGAATGTGTGAGCACGTGTGTGGGGCTCCCCCGCACCACTTCCCCAGTGAAGACATCGGCCCCCACGGCAACCAGGACGGCAGGCGGTTTTCCTTGGCGGGGCCTGGCGCCACCCCACGCAGTGGCTGCCCAGCCTGTGCACGAGGCTCGGAAGGTCCCCCACCCAGGACAGGGTCCTGACCCCTTCACTCCAGACTGTTCCCTGCCCCCACCAGCTCCAGAGGCCCCCCTGGGGGACCCCAGCCCCTGAGAAGGGCAGCCACTGCCAACACGTTTCTCAAAAATGTAAACAAGGGCCCAGGCACCTGCAGGACAGGCTGGGTGGGAGCGATGCCCCGGGGAACAACGCGGTCCCAGCCGGGCCCAGGAGGCAGAGCGAGGGTCCTGCGGGGGGTGGGGGGTGTCCTCCCTGTCCCAGGCAATTGACTTTCCTTAGCAAACAGAAGGGGGACGTTTCCAGAAGCCACGGTGCTGGGATGAACCCGCTCTTTTCCTTAGAAACACAACAGCCAAAGATGTCCTGTGAGCTGCCGCTCTGCTCTCGACACACGGGGACCCGGTGTCTGGTTTCCGGGCTGATGAAAACCCATTCCAGGCCGGCGACTGAGGCCAAAACAAATGCTCGAGTGCAGGTCCTCGCGTGTAATGAGGAAGTTTAATTAAGGCCCCACATTTCAGCTGTAAATGTTCCTTTATGTAATAAGGTCTAAATGAAACCGAACCTAATCAAAGCTACAATTCCTTCATTAGCAAATCACAAACAAGAGCGCACAGCTGACACACCGGCTATGATTATCACAACTAATTGCCTCGTTGTTACAAACTGGCGTGAAACAGCGTTCAGATGTCCGTCTGCGTGAGCAAATTAGGGCCACGTCGGGCTGTTCCGGGCTCACAAGGGGCTCTTGTGCGGAGGTCTGATTTACCCATCGCCTGGTGGCCCGCGGCCCAATCAAAGCCCAGCTACAAAGGCAGCCTTTGAAGCCCGCTCAGCCTGGGAGCGCGCTCCGTATGCGGGCGGGCAGACCGCACTTCATTAGGTCTGTTGTCACACTTTCCCTGTTCTTATTCTAATGATCCCATTTTAATACACACAGGAACCTCTTCTAATTGATGTCAAGTGAGTGACTTCCACATTCATCAACAGCACATCAAACAAACCTCTCCCGCCAGCCGGCGTCCAGGCCAGGGGGGGACTGGGTGTGTCCACAGCCGCAGGGGTGGGGGGCCGGGCGGGGGGAGGGGGGGCGGCGTACCTGTTTGATTGGGATGGCGCGGCCGCTCCCGATGCTGTCCGCGCGGCTCTCCAGGCCTTTCTTCTCTTTGTCTGGGTCGCTCCCTTTCCGAGACTGCAAAACCGAAAACAAAGTTAGCCTTCGGTTGGGGTGGCAGCTCAAGGCGGGCGCAAGGCTTGCCCTCAGCTGGGCAGTTTCTGCAAACCCGGGTCCAGGGCCCACGGGTGGGGTGTGCGTGCATGTGTGCGTACGAACACGCACACACACGCCCCCACGCAGGCCTCGGGTTCTTTCGTCTCCACGGTTGCCTCGTTCCACAGAGAATGTTCTAAACTTCTTCCCCTGCAAAATTACCTTTTAATTCTTTTTTTTTTAGAGAGTTTAAAATTCAATTACTAGAGACCAATGGACCATACAGAACAGTAACGCCCAACAGGAAAACACACCCTGAAGCTGCGGTTAATCCAGCCGAGGAGAAAGGGGCTCCTCACTGCTTGTTTGGGAAGCGACGTCAACGTACACATTTAATTAACATCTGAAGCACTGAAGAGAATTCTATTAACAACTCAGCTGTGCAGGGTAACGGCACACTCCCGATTCATATCAAGGTGCCAGTAATGTTTCCTTTTATTGCTTCTGCACGGTGAGAAAACAGCAAATTCACAAACTGGTGTTTAACAGCACAAAAATGAACAGATGGGAAGAAAAAGTTGAAAATACCTTTTTTGACAGTAAGTCAGTGCTTGGGGGGGAACAAGCAGCTTCACTGGCCAAGTCCCTGGGACAGCTTCCCAGCCACGCAGCTGACAGCGCAGACCTGGTGATCCGCTGGCCGCACCCAGGGAAGCCGCCCCACAAGGCCGGCGGGACGGGGGCGACCTGGAGGGACGGCGCAGCGGCTAAGGCCCTGTCTCTCGACGGCAGGAGGAAGTGTGAGTGGCGACCTCCTGACAGATTTATTTCATTACGAGAGAAAGACTGCAGACTCGTCCTCCTTAATAACTGCGCTGACAAGTGACAACTTCACTCCATTACTTTTCAATGGGAACATTACTCACGCAATATTGAAAATGGAGAAACATTTTCGCGTGCTTTTCAAATCCGAGATGATGTATGAAACGAGCAGACCTGGCGGTGTCCGGTGCCGCGGTGACAAGCGAGCGACACCCCTTTTTCCCAGGGTGTGAGTCGGGCGTCTGGTTTTGTTTGTTAAGGGGGGGGCACCACCGTGGGACCCAGGGAGGAAGTCCCCGTGATGTCCCCTTGGGGAGCACTTCCACGGGCTCCGGTGCTCGTGGGACAGTGTGCTTCTGCCGCGGCCGGTGGCTCTGCGGGCTGGAGCACCGCCCGTGAACTGGAAGGTTGCGGGTTCGAGTCCTGATCAGGACATGTGCTGGGCTGTGGGCTCGGTCCCAGCTGGAGCCCTTACAGAGGCAACCGATCGATGTTTCTCTCTCCCCTCCCCCCTCTCTAAAAACCAGTAAGCGTGTCCTCGGGTGAGGATGAAATAAAGTGAGTTTCCTTGACAACGGCAGCGCTGACACTTCTCGAGCACCCAGGTGCCGGCGCTGCACACTCTTCTCTGAAGATGGTGTGAGCCCGGAGTGAGGCAACGTAAAATAAAACGAGCAACAAAAAGTTGCGGCAGAGCAAAGAACTGAAGGCTTATCCCTGTGGGCTGGTCGGGAAATGGGGACATTTATCAATTCCTGGTCATGAATGTTAGCTGGGGGACAGGCTCTCTTTTCTCTAATTCCTTAGCTAATAACGTACAGCGAGGGCTGTGTGATCACCCCAAACGCTCTTTCCCCCACAACCCCATCCACAGGGAAGCTGGAACTCCAGGTTCCCCATTAGAAAGTAAGACAAAGCTCACAGCAATGCCACTTAAAAACATTTAGATCAACAAGAGTGTATTAAAAGTACTTTTAGAATTTTACAAATTCTGAATTTAGAAACCCATCTTCATTATTCTCTATTAACCAGAATAATTAACAAAACAAACAAAAAAATTAGCATCTTCCTCCAGGCAGCCCATCTGTCCCCTCAGTGGCTTGGAGCAGGCGGCTGGTTCTGGGGAGGCCGGTCGGGGCTGCGGCAGCACCTGACCCCCCACCCGAGGTGAGCGCGAGGGAGACAGGGCGTAACCCCCTCGGGCCAGGTGGGGAGGGCCCTTCAACGATGGCCGCCCCGGGGAGGGTGCAGGGGCAGGCTGCGGGGCGGAGGGCCTGCTGTGCCTCAGCCCATGGTCACCTTTCGACAACGGGCTGGCATGTCCCCAAAACTGACGTCCGGCTGCTAAAGGGAATCGAACCTGGTGGACGGCAGCTGCCACCACATGCACATGTCCCCAAGGAGGCCCCGGCTCTTCTGCCGGCTCTGGGACGCATCCGGGGCACCGCCTGCAACCACTGAGCGCAAGGCCGTGTGAAACCCGCAGATGCCCAGCGGCTTGCAGTGCCCGTGTCCGGAGGAGGGACTGCGGGGCGTCCCGACACACCCAGCTGCAAAGCCAACTCCCTACCCTCGGGAGGGTGGCAGCAGGCCTGCCGAGGGGCTGCCTGGGCTCAGGACACCGAGTGCAGGGGAGGGGAAGGTGAAGGTGGGTCTAATTACTTCTCCCTTCGTTACCAAAATGCTCATCTCCCAGATAAGCCAAGACGTCAGGAAGGGAAACCCCACCAGCTACCTGCTACTCGGACGGGAAGCTTCACTGACAGGAGCCGCCACACACCACCCCCCAACCCCGGCAAACAGGAAACTGTCCCCCCAGCCTTAAGGCCAGTGGGTGAGCCAGCGTCTCCTCCTCCTCTGACTACCACGTGCCACCCACACGAGTCTGGCACAACACCGACTTCACTGCCTTGTTTCTGCAGTGGCTTCCGAGCATGGCCCGGGCGGCATCTTTGCCCAGCCTTCAGTCACGAGTGCGCCCAGCTCTCTTCAATGGTGTCGGCACCACATGCTAAGCTTTCAAAGGTACCATGTGGACCAGGGGTCCCCAGCCCCCCCCCCAACATCAGGACAGAGCTGGACCCGGATGGGGAGGGCTGGGGACAGTGCCTTTGACCCGAGACCGGTCCACTTCGGGAGGCAGCAGCGTGTCTGTGCCCGCTCTCCAGCAGGACACTGACCCACGTGGGAGTCGGGCCGCTGGGCCACACCGACGGTCCTGAGAGCCCACATTTCAAAACCAGGAACCCAGTGCCTACGGCCTTTCAACCTTCCTTTGCTCAAAATTTGCTCCTACAGGAGAGATTTTTAAGTTTCTGCTGCTCTGTAAAAAGTGCAAGGTTTATTTTTATTTAAAGTGGCAAATTCGCAGGCAGAAGTACCCGGGACTGTGAACACTGGCCTGCATCACAGGCCTGACCTCTGAGACACGTACGTTCGAAAACTGACGTGTGTGGCTTAGTGAACTGTCTCCTCTTCAAGATGCTCAAACAAATAAGATGGGCAGGGTCTGGGAGCCACAGTCCGTCTGCCCCAACTTCCCCCGAGTAAGGCTTGTCTGTCCTACTACCCACTTTTATATGAACACTTATTTAATTTTGGCGAACTGAGGCCCAAGACCACCAATAATTACCAGGGAAGAAGAGTCTATGAGAGTCCACCTGTTTAATGTTTAAGATCAGGTTACACCTGGGAACAATGGGCGTTTAGTTACTTAATTGCTACAATTTCGAAGTTAACTGGCTACCTTCTGTCCCTTGGCGGATGCTGACACCTAGTGGTGCTGTGGTGTCTTGAAACCCCAACCTAGAAATACCAGCCCCTCACCGCAGCCCGAGTCAGGCCCGCTGACCACCAGGCCCAGGACCCCAGCCGCTTCCTAAAGGCCAAGAGGAAACCCAGCGCAGCCCCCCGCGTGACCTCCGACCCCGTCGCTGTGAGCAGCTGCGGGCGGCTGCACGCGCTCAAGTGCTTCCCAAGTGCACTGCTCCCCGGAGTCTCGAGGGGAGAACAGCACCGAGGACACGCGGCCCTGGGGCCAGACTTCTGTGTTACCGAACACGCTCACCGTGGCACAACTAAGGAGAAGTTCTCACGGGCTCCGGCACCTGGGCTGCCCGAGCGTGGAGGCCGCCCTCGTGAGCGGCGTGAGGAAGCCGAGGCAGCCCGCCCACCCGCTCTCCCCGAGCACTTGCACGTGGGGGTCTGCCCCGGCAGGCCCCAGGCCCCGTGGGGCCGGCACGCACTCGCTCACTGAGTCACCCCACCAGCAGGGTCTGGGACACTGTTTTCTGGCACATTCCAGAGCTGCCTTAACAGGAGGGGGCAGGCACGCTGGAGTGGCCCTTGTGAACAGCTGTTTTTAAAGATGCCTCCTGGCCTCTCTTCCCTTTCCCTGCAACTGGCCACCGGGTGGCAGCCTGAGTTGGGGCCCTGTCCTCCCGCCATGCCTCAGCAGGAGTGACCAAGACACAGAAGACACTGGGGTCAAGTGCACGGTCAGGGCCCTTGGCATCCCACCTGCCCCTCTCCACCCTCTGCTGAGTCTCGAGGGAGACACAGCCCGTTCCCAAGGTGACGCCCTCCCGCATGGAGCCCACAAGCGCCGTGGGGGGGGATAGAGCTGGGGGTGCTGCGCCGTCACTACTGTCGCTGGCGGCACATCTGGAGGGACTTCACAGTAGCACAGCTTGTGCGTGTGCACACCGTCCTCTGCGGAGAGCCGGGCCCCTGCGCTCTGTCCCCCACGGGGGCCACTGTCCTCGGTCAGCAGTGGCTTCTCAGCGTCAGCGGTGGTGACAAAAAACGCGAGTGAGGCCCAAAGACCCTGCCCGGCCAGGGAATCTTCCCGGCAGCCCCACAGCCGCCTCTGCAGCCCCCTACTGCTGCTTCCAGCTCAGAAAGGTTCAGTAAGCTGCCCGAGGTCACACAGCCGCAGGCCGGGAGCTGGAGTCCAGGCAAGCTCCACCGCCCTCTGTTCCTCCAGCAGTAGCACCTGCCAGAGCTCATGGGGCGCGGGGGGCGCGGGCCACGCGGCAAAGTAGAGGGGTGTGCCCGGTGGGACCCCCACGGACCTGGGGGAGGGGCGGCCACGTGCACTTTGATACCACCCCAGCGCCAGGACCGCAGGTCGGAGGGCAAACTCCTAGCTGCCCCTGCAGAGCCCGTCTTTAGTTAAGCCCCGAAATACTGAACTTTGAACTTTGCGTCGCCGGCAGCAGTAATCAACCGAAAAGGAAGTCAAACAGTTCGAACAGGGCCTGACTGAGGGCGTGGGGCCAGTCACCCCTGGCCCTGCCCCTGCTCTGATGGATGAGCAGTGTCCACTACGGTACCAGACGGGGCGGAGAGGCAGCACGCCCGAGTCCTCCGAGTCCCAAACCACCCACACCCGGGCCCCAAGCACTGACTCACGGCTCCTAGGCCTCAGCCCCAAGGGCCTGTTGGCAGTTTTAAAACGCCCCACAGGTGACTCTGAAGAAAGGTTCGGGCGGGCAGCCTCGTGGCCGAGGAGCCCTGCACCTGGGAGGTGACGCTCAGCAGTGGGGGGCGGAAATGGAGGTGGCCACGCTCGCTCTCCGGAAAGGCCAGGGGGGCCCATCTGGGGTCGGGCAGGGCTCTGTCAGCTCCCACAGCCAGGGTGGCAGGCCTCTTGCTAGAGACTGAGCGTGCCACGGGATCCCCAGCACTCTCCTCCAAGCCCCTCACGTCTGACTCCTGGGTCAGCACTCTCTGCAGCCAGAGAAACGCCCGCCCTGCTCATTCCCCAAGTCTGTGTGTCTCACGTGTTCCCAGACTTCCACGCACGTCAACCCCACTCCCACTCACTCAGGGTTCTGCATGGTCACCAAACCACCCGGCGGAACCCCACTTACAGTGAAGAGGTTGGAGCGGCGCTTGGACTGCTTCCGGACAGGCGTTGGCGTGTTGGCCGTGGGCGGCACGTCGATGCGCAGCTCCTTCTGGCTGGTGCTCGGTGTCGATGGGACGGAGGAGGAGTAGTCGCTCAGACTGCCACCCCCGTTGCTCGTCTGCAAGGACCCAAAACCAAGGCCGGGTTAGGGACCCACTCCGGTGACCGAGTGCCAACCCCACGCAGGTCCCGCCGTGAGGGAGGTGCCTGTGTGCCCAGCAGTTCAGTCCCTGGCTCTGGGGTGAGCGTCAGCCCCGGGCACACGGAGCTTCGTTCCGGAACACACCGGCCCTCCCAGAGTCCACAGGTCTAAGAAGCACCTCAAGAAAGAAGTCTGTCGTTTAATTGTGAAAGTTTTGGAAGTTAAGTGTGATTACCTCCTCTTCTCTCTGAAAATGAGGAGCTGGTTCTATGGCTCCTTCACCTCCCAATGCTGAAAGCACCATTTAGCCCAGAAGAACCGCCGCGCACAGCTTGAAAATGTGAACGCTTTTGGGAGATACTTCAGGGTTCACAGGAACCTGAGCAGCTCGCAGTCAGTGGAGCATCGAACATTCGTGACCGCTCACTCCCCCGCGGCTGCTACAATGAGCAGGCCCGCACCGGGATGGCCGCTTAAAACGCGCCGCCCACGGACTCCCAGGAGCTGCCGCCTCCCCGAGGCTCCTCTAACAAAGCGCCCTGGTAACACCTGTCTCCGAAATCTCATCACAGCCCACGTGCGGGAAGCACAAGCCCCATTCCCTTAAGAGGCATTGGTGGGGTTCTCCAAGGTGACAACTATTTTCTTGATTTCCAAGTGAGTTAGCAAACGTCACTGTGGGAAGGCCGCTTCTGCAGGGCTTCAGGGACAAAGTGATTGTAACTGAGGGCCACCACCGACCCGGGCACATGGGGGAGCAGCTCCGGACCCCCCATAACGGTCCCTCCCGGGGGCAGTGGGGAGGAGGGCCGACTAGGGGCGATGTAAGTGGACAACAAGGTCGGCGCGCTCCCCTGCCCCTCCCTCAGCCGGCACGCCGCGTGACACGGACTGCGTGCCCATGGGAATCGTTCAGGGCCCCCCATAAACACCATTTGGCCCCAGCTGTTTCCGAGCAAGGTGTTAAGCCCATTACCAGCAGGCTGTTCTTTAGAAAGTCGGACAGAAAGGAAATCCACCTGGCAGCTGGCTGCCCACGCTGTGGCCAGCACGCGCTCCGTGGCCCCAGTGGGCCACGAGGAGCAGCACCCCCACGCCCCACGTACCTGGCTGATGTGCACGGCGGACACCTGTGCGGAGCAGACGGACGAGTGGCTGGGGGAGTTGGGGAGCGACTTGCAGGGCCCTATGGAGAGCTGCTGCTTCTTCCTCGTGGCCACGATCTTCTGGGCAACTAGTGGGCGGGGAGACAGGAACACATGTGAGGCTGGTTTCCAACCACGGGGCACAGCACGCTGACCGCCGGGAGCAGCTGCAGCCCCGGAGCCCCCCGTGGTCAGAGTCCCGACGCTCAGCTGGGCACGTGACTGCCAGCGTGGGTGTGCCCTCGCCCAGAGCCCCGGCAGCGCTGTCCTTCGCACCCCAGCCCAGCGTGTCCAGGACAACGAGCTCCAGCCAGTGGGTGACAATGGGGGGCGCAGATGGCCGGGCCCAGGGATTCTCCTTGGTCCACTTCTTCCCTCTTTTTCCCTCGTGCGCCTTAAAGAGCACACAGGTGGGCGGTGGCCTTGGCAGGCCCCTTGCAGGTGCGAGCCAGGCTGGGGGGGGGCCCACGAGACAGAAGGGGCTGGGCCTCTGGCTCCGCTGCCCCACCAAGACGTCCTCGGAAACCCTGGGTGCGAGACAGAACCATGCGCGCCTGTCTTCTTGTTGAAATTATTCTAATAACTTGGTCCCCCCCACCACTTACTTGCAGCAAAAAAAAAAAAAAAAAAAATCCGAAATGAGACAGGGTGAAGGAACCAAGCCCCCTTGAAAACTCAAAAATCTATATTTTAAATAGTCTACAGAATTACTCTTAACTTTACAGGCTACCGCACAGAATTACACTCAAGGACATGTAATTACCTCAAAGACTGCTTTATTTAAATATATTGCTACACACATCAAAGTTCATCCTAATCAACACAAAGCTGAACGCAACCAGCCATCACCCCTCTCGGCAAGCAGGCTCGCTGACGGGGCTGGTGTAACCGGAAAGGAAGTCAAGGACCAGGAAGGAAGCTCTCCCTGCGCCGACAGGCGTCCCCACGGCAGAGGGGCTGCGGCTTTTATTTGAACAGATGCGCGCCTGTGGGGACCGGCGTGGCTCAGCGCGGTGATTCCAGTCCTCGGGTCTGCCCGGTAGCTGCTGTTGTGGCCGACTCCCACGCAGAGGAACGCCCCACTGTCCCCCACGAGAGGCTGGACACAGGAGGGGCGCACGAGGCGCCCACACATCGCCCCTTCGACGACCCCGACTTTAACAAGGAGCGGGTCCGTCCCTGCGAACGGCTCTCATGTGAGTGCGTGATAGCATGAGTATGATTAAGTGAAAACTCAACTTATAAAAAATGGCTCCCAGAGGCGCGGCGGCAGCTTCATTAGGGACGGCCCACCTCCAATAGGCCTCTTATCATCCTGAAAGGATGGTATCAATTAATTCATCTTCCCGTAGTGTATCGATCAGAGCCATCATCAGCTAATCATGTTTAAATTACAGAGGAATAGCGCGGCGCTCTGTCATTTCAAAACCGTTGGCGTATTGATCCAGGGTCTTTGCAGACGTGTATTGGAGTATTTTATAAATCATTATGTGCACTCGGAAATAAAATTTAAGATCAGATTACCACAGCTGCAAGACGCATCATGGGATGCACCGAAGTCCCAAAGACCAAAAGCAAATTAAGTTAAAATCACAACTGTGTGGGTGATTGCCAATTTACTTCTGTGGCGGGGGGGGGGGGGGGGCTGGGAGCAAAGGGGCTTCTGTGACCGACTGCAGTGCATCCACCCTTCACCGCTGGCCACAGAGCTGCCCGGAGGGTGACCAGGACTTGGGTCCTGAAGCTCATCAAGGGGGCACAGAGCTAGCCAGGGCGGGCTGTCCGAAGGGCTCTGGAGACAATCCCGTGAATGTTTTCTTTGCGAAGAGAACGGAGAAACTTCCCCAAGTGAGTCAAAAGAAGGTTCTGTCCTTCCTGCTGGGAGGACGGGAAGCACGACTCCGGAGCAGCGAGGGTGTGTCTGCCCCAGGGGCCGGTCGGGCAGCAGACAGGAGGCAGAACGGGGTTGCCCGGCCGGAGCCGCAGGGCAGGGACTGAACTCCGCCCACTTATCGGTGCTCTGCCGCATCAGCGACCAAGCCCGGGCAGCACTTCTCCTAACAGATGTGGAAGAAGGACGCACTCTTGCGACTGGCGGCGTTTCTAACTGTGCTCACGTCTGTTCTGCTCCCCGCCTAACTGGTAGGCCCCTCCCTGCTCAGCTGGAAGGAGGAGGATGATCCTCAGCTAGGTCACTCTGAACTGGGCTGCTGCAGACCACAGGGCGGCCCCCAGGGGCAGGGAAAACCTGGCCGAAGACAACCGAACACGGGACTGGAGGAGGAAGACGGGAAGTGAGAGCGCAAGCAGAGGACGGATCGATGGCCAGGTCAGGCTTGGTGCCGCTGCACAGGTCGACGAAGACCTACGGGACGCCCAGAGCGGGCACCACCGCCCGCTGACCGCCACTGCTGTGCTGTTCTGAGCACCCCCCCCAGTGTGGCCGGCGCCACATGAAGTCTAATGACTGTGTGGGGGCCCCAGAGCCGCAGAGACCCCTCCCCTCTGAGATCCTGCCGCACCCACCCCTCCAATGCCCTTGCAGAGGTCGGGGTGAAGTCCAGAGACTGGAGAGGTGAGGTGGGCTGAGTGGGTGGGCAAGCCCTGCCCCCGGAACGAGGCAGAGGAAATGCAGGGGCCGGAGACCGGGGTGCGCTCTGGCAACTGGAATCATTATCGCTCAGGACATTCAGAACATCAAATGCCGCCAGACTGCAAACATACATGTCGCCCCAGACCAAGCTGGCTGGGCCACCCTCACCATCACCGAGCTCTGTCTGCACTGGGACCACTCGACAAACGAGCAGGCCGCATGTTTCATACAAACACGTGTGAGCGAGTGAGCGTGGTCAACAGGAACACAGGCACCCGAGGTTTCTTAAGAGAACAGGAAACCCTGGTTGCTGAGAAGGGGTGTTTTCTCGGTTTTGGTGCCTCACCTTCCTGTACAGACACCGCGCAATGACGCCACGGGGTGAGGGTGGCTGTTTGTTGCCAGACTCACCGATTTCCCAGCCTCCCAACGTTCCCGTGCGGAAGCTCCTCCACAGCGCTGAACTCCACCTGGGGGACACTTGGCAGACGCCCTTTAATACACCCTTTAATTCGCCCCTGTGTTCGTGGCTGTAACTGCACTGAACACACTTCGAAACCAAGCAAGCTACCCGCCCGCGGCCGGGACCGGACCCAGGGCCCCTGCTTGACCTGGGCAGCTACTTCAAGATCATTCTCTTTTTAAAGTTCACTTACGGATGTAAACAACCAGAAAACTGGGTCACACACTCACTTTGCCCACAGGTTTTGAAGTTTCCATCCTGCAGAGGTGGACAGTGCCCCTCGCTGGGCGGTGAGTACTAGTGGGGCCTGCAGCCCCTGGAGTACCACAGTGTGCGGTGCCCACTCCCGAGTCCCCTCTGCTGTCCCACCAGTGCCAGGGAGAGGAGGGACCCGGCCCTCGCCGGGTCTCACACGTGGCCTGACTCCAAGGCTGGTCACGCCGTCCCCGCCAGCATAGCCCGGAGACGCCACCCCTTCCGGGGCCGGGGCGGTGTCCCTTGGTTCTGTCCCCCCCCTCACAGCCCTTCAACTTCCCTGGGTAAGCAGGAGAAGAGGCCCCGCCTGGCAGCTGGTCCCCAAGAGGGGCTCAGCCAGTGCCGTTCAAACTCCATTTTCATAATCAGCCTTCCCGAGAGCAGCTAGACGTGTCCCTGACGCCCCCTCCCCAGTTCTCCCGATGGCCACAGCCCCTGGGGAAGAGCCTGCCATTTCCAGCGCCACTGTCTGCAGGTGGCATCTCACCTGAGCCCTGGGCCGCACTGGGTGTCGCTGCGGGTTCCCTCCCGTCCTGCGTGCCCCTCCTTCTGTGACTCCGAGGCCCCGTTTCCTCCCCTGCCTGGGGCTGCTCTTCCTCCTCCTCCTCGAGCTGCTCGATGAGGGGGCTCCCGGGCTGCCTCCCCAGACCCTCCTTGGGCTCCATGAGCTCCCCAGGCACCCCCCCAAAGGTTCCACATCTGCACAGGCAGCCCAACCCTCCCCGAGTTCTAGAACCCGGTCTCCAGGCACCGCTCACAGCTCCCGCAATAGACAGAGGCCTTGACGTCCTTGTAGCCCCCACCGCCCAACCCGCTTCTCCAGGTTTCCTGGGGACCCTGCCACCTGTGTACCACCCGTGTGCCCACGCACACTCCTGGAGAGGAGAGAGAACAGAGCAGACTCGCCCTCAGGTTCCTCCCAAGTTCACCTCCATGGCCACTGGCCTGGTCCCAGGCTTCGCCTTCCCACGGCTGCGCACGGAAACAGCCCCCGAAGCAGCCCCTTCCCTGCCACCCGGAGCCGCAGCGCACGCCCAGTGACCCTTTCCGAGGCATGGTGTCCCGTGGCTTCCCCCTGCTGATGGCTCGACAGCCCCGCTGCCACGCAGACGCCCAGCTGGGATTCCTCAGCGCGGTGGGGCTCTCACCCCTGCTCCTTCCTCCACAGACTCCCAGGACCCCGGCCCACCCGGGTGCAGCGCGGGTCTCCCGAGAGTGGGAGAAGTGACACCCGACCGTGAAGCACGGTGAGCAGCCACCCACAGGGCCTCCCCTCTGGGGGCCTGAGTGCCCCGAGCTCCAGACAGCGGGCGCTGCGTGGCCGGGGCCTGGCAGCACGTCTGCCTGACCCCAGTGTCCACCACGGGCACCCGGACAGGCTCCCCTTTCCAGGAAGGTGCCACTGTCAGTCAGCAGTGGTGCGACTGCCCCGGGGCCAGGTCTTTGGCCTTTGTCTTCTCGGGCTCCAACCCCAGGGAGGACCAGGAGGCCTTCAAACCCCAACACAGCACTGCCCCAGCCTCATGGCCCAGGTCCAACCAGACACGTCCCTGTGGCCACTGTGCCACCCAGAACACCGCCTCCCATGTCCCGCCCCCACCGCCCCACCTGTCCTGGGAACCTTCTCCCCGCCACTCGGACGGCCCAGGGGGGCCCCGCACCCCAAATGCAGGCGTTGAGGGGCCAGCACCAGGGGTCACCCACACCTGACCGAGCGTTGCTGTGTGTGTGAACATGTGTGCCAACACAGGTACACACCCATGGAGAGCCGTGTCAAA